CAAGGTTCTTAGCTTCCTTGCATTGGGTTAGAACATGCTCCTTTAGCTCAGAGGAGTTTGATATTATTCACATTCTGAAGCCTACTTCTGTCAGTTTGTCAAACTCATTCTTCATCCAGTTTTGTATCCTTGGTGGAGAGGAGTTGCAATCGTTTGGAGGGGAAGAGGCATTCTGGTTTTTGGAATTTTCAGGATTTCTGTGCTGGTTTTTCCTCATCTTCATGGATTTAGCTACCTTTGATCTTTAAGGCTGATGACCTTTGGATGTGGTTTCCATCTGGGAGTCCTTTTTGTTGATGTTGATGTTATTGCTTTCTGTTTGTTAGTTTTTCTTTTTATTATTATTATTATTATTATTATTATTATTATTATTATTCATGTGCATAACGTGCAGGTTTCTTACATATGTATACTTGTGCCATGTTGCTGTGCTGCACCCATCAACTCGTCAGCACCCAACAACTCGTCATTTACATCAGGTATAACTCCCAATGCAATCCCTCCCCCCTCCCCCCTCCCCATGATAGGCCCCGGTGTGTGATGTCCCCCTTCCCATGTCCAAGTGATCTCATTGTTCAGTTCCCACCTATGAGTGAGAACATGTGGTGTTTGGTTTTCTGTTCTTGTGATAGTTTGCTCAGAATGATGGTTTCCAGCTGCATCCATGTCCCTACAAAGGACACGAACTCATCCTTTTTGATGGCTGCATAGTATTCCATGGTGTATATGTGCCACATTTTCTTAATCCAGTCTGTCACTGATGAACATTTGGGTTGATTCCAAGTCTTTGCTATTGTGAATAGTGCCACAATGAACATACGTGTGCATGTGTTTTTATAGCAGCATGATTTATAATCCTATGGGTATATCCCCAGTAATGGGATGGCTGGGTCATATGGTACATCTAGTTCTAGATCCTTGAGGAATCGCCATACTGTTTTCCATCATGGTTGAACTAGTTTACAATCCCACCAACAGTGTAAAAGTGTTCCTATTTCTCCACATCCTCTCCAGCACCTGTTGTTTCCTGACTTTTGAATAATCGCCATTCTAACTGGTGTGAGATGGTATCTCATTGTGGTTTTGATTTGCATTTCTCTGATGGCCAGTGGTGATGAGCATTTTTTCATGTGTCTGTTGGCTGTATGAATGTCTTCTTTTGAGAAATGTCTGTTCATATCCTTTGCCCACTTTTTGTTTTTTTCTTGTAAATTTGTTTGAGTTCTTTGCAGGTTCTGGATATTAGCCCTTTGTCAGATTTTCTTTTAACAGCCAGGCCCGTCTTCTGCAGGTCTGCTGCAGGTTGCTGGAGGACCACTCCAGACCCTGTTTGCCTGGGCATCACCAGTGGAGGCTGCAGAACAGCAAAGATTGCTTCCTTCCTCTTCCTCTGGAAGCTTTGTCCCAGAGGGGCACTGGCCTGATGCCAGCCAGAGCTGACCTATATGAGGTGGTTGTGGATCCCTGCTGGGAGGTCTCTCCCAGTCAGGAGGCATGGGGGTCAGGGACCCACTTGAGGAGGCAGTCTGTCCCTTAGCAGAGCTCAAGCACTATGCTGGGAGAAACCTCCTTGTCAGGATCTGCTCTTGTCTTCAGATACGGCAGGCAGGGACATTTAAGTCCACTGCAGCTGCACCCACAGCCATCCCTTCCCCCAGGTGCTCTATCTCAGGGAGATGGCAGTTTTGTCTATACACCCCTGACTGGGCCTCTGCCTTTCTTTCATAGATGCCCTGCCCAGTGAGGAGGAATCTAGAGAGGCAATCTGGCCACAGCCACTTTGCCATCCTGTGATGAGTTCCGCCCATTCCGAGCTTCCAGGTTTCCTTAACATTGTCAGGGGAAAATCGCCTACTCAAGCCTCAGCAATAGTGGATACCCCTCCTCCCACCAAGCTCAATAGTCACAAGTAGACATCAGACAGCTGGACTGGCAATGAGAATTTCAAGCCAGTGATTCTTAGCTTGCTGGGCTCCATAGGACTGCACCTGCTGAGCAAGACCACCTGGTTCCCTGGATTCAGCCCCCTTTCCAGGAGAGCGAACAGTTGTGTGACACTGGGTTCCAGGTGCTACTGGGGTACCAAAAAAAAACATAAAACTCCTGCAACTAGCTCAGTGTCTGCCCAAACAACTGCCCAGTTTTGTGCTTGAAACCCAGGGTCCTGCTGGTGTTGGCACAAGAGGGAATCTTTTCGTCTGCAGATTGCAAAAACTGTGGGAGAAGCGTAGAATCTGGACCAGATAGCACAGTACGTTACAGTTTCCCTTGGCTTGGGGAGGGAGATTCCTGACTCCTTGCATTTCACGGGTAGGCAATGCCCCACCCTGCTTCTGCTTGCCCTCCGTGGGCTGCACTCACTGCCTAACCAGTCCCAATAAGACGAACCGGGTACCTCAGTTGGAAATGCAGAAATCCCTTGCCTTCTGTGTTGGTCTTGCTGGGAACTGCAGACCAACGCTTTTCCTATTAGGCTATCTTGCCAGATCCCTGCAACCATCCCACATGAATTTTAAAATAGTTTTCTTCTAATTCCAAATAGAATGTCATTCGTAGTTTAGTAGGAACACCATTGAATCTATAGATTGCTCTGATCAGTTTGGCTATTTTGAAAATATGGCTTCTTCCTGTTCATAAGCATAGAATGATTTTCCGTTTGTGTCATCTCTGATTTCTTTGAGCAGTGTTTTGTAGTTCTCATAGCAGAGATTGTTCTACTCCCTAGTTAGCTGTATTCCTAGGTATTTTATTCTTTTTGTGGCAATTGTGAATGGGATTGTGCTTCTGATTTGGCTCTGAGCTTCAAGGTAGTTGGTGTACACAAACGCTCCTGCTTTAGGTACATTAATTTTGTATCCGGAAAATTTCCTGAAGTTGTTTATAAGATCAAGGAACTTTTGGGTAGAGTGTCCGGGATTTTCTAGGTATGGAATCATATGGTTTGCAAACAGAGGTTGTTTGACTTGCGTGAAAAACATAGTGGAGTAAAAGCAAACACGTGTCAGCAATGGAATGGAAAAATAAAAATGCCCATGAATAAATTTAATTTGAATGTGAAGAACTAATATGTAGCAAAAAACCCAGTCATTGTGCGGGATACGATAATGACTTGAGGAATTGAGGAGTGGCTTCTTCTTTTTTTTTTTTTGTTTGAGAGATTCTAAAATAGATGGCTATTGTCCCAGAGTTACCATGTAATATAAAAATAGTAACTAGTATCTCAACAGGAATATTTTAGCACCTTATCAAATGATTCTGCAGTTCATCTGAAAGACCAACGTGTCAGAATTGATAGAAAAGGAGAAATCAGTGAGGGAGGGCAAGCATTATTTCACATTTCAACTATCATTAAGCTACAGCAATTAAAATACTGCAGTAGTGGTAAAGGTATAAACAACTCAATGGAAGAAAATTAAAAGAAGGGAGTTACATACAAAATTGAGTGGGGATGTAGGTGATGATAAAAGAGCCATTTCAAAACAGTGGGTGAAACAGGGATTCAACAATTAAGGTTGAGTTCCTACCACTTTAATGTTGTCCAGCTGGATCAATGATTTTGAACGTACAATAATGCAACCAAGAACTATGAATGTCTTATCGTATTGGAGTGGGTAAGACCACTGCAAGCATGACAGCAAACTCGTGAAGGAGGCAAGAAAATGATTTCTGGAAGCGTATATAAAACAGGTATTAAAATATTTAAAATTTATTTCTGTGATGGTGAATTTTTCTGAAACACATTATTAGAGTAAGCTGGGGCTCATATTCTCCAAAGCCACTGGAAGGGAAAGAAAGATTGGGCGGGGGAAAAAGAAAAGTGCTTTGCAATTCATTTTCGATGTTAGGAGCACTGCTGGTTTAGGTTCTCCACAGAGGCAGGAAAACTTCAGTCTGGAGGCGAATGCCCTCCTCAGTGCGCATGTTGCACAGACCTGTTGCTGCGCATGTCTGTTGCTACGCGTGTCTGTTGTTGCGCATGCGCCTTGCTCCCCACCTTCTGTCCAGGCAGAGCTCTGCAGGCAGAGGTTGTGTCTTCATTCTTTCCGCCATCTTGATTCTTTCTCACTGATTGAGACGCAGCCGGTAGGTCCGCAGAGCGGTCTTCCTGAGAATTTAGTTGTGAGTGAATGTGTGGAGGAGCCAGCGTTAGGACAGGTCCTGCAGCACAGTCCCTGGCTTCTGAGGGAAAAGGGCCTTGCAGTCATCGTCCAGCTCCTCCTAGGTCGCCATGCCACCATGGGACTTGTCTTTGTGGCTGGGCTGGGACGAGGGAGGAAGGTGGGCCGCAGAGGGGAGGGATCACGTGAAGATGGGGCGAGTGCTGCGGGTGCTGTTAGAGGTGTCTGAGTCCCGGAAACTCCTGGAACCCTCTGAGACAGGACAGTTTCTAGACTCCTAGGTAGGGGCGCGGAAAGGGACAGCGTGTTCGGTAAGGAAGGCGCCTGGGAACTGTGGGCTGGTGACTGCGGCCCTGAGGTCTGTAGAGTGCCTGGCAGAGGTGTCCCGTGAGGAGCATAACGTTTACTCTGTTTCACAATTTCTCACCTCCGCTGTGAACGTCATGGGAAGGAATGGGTGAGGCTGTGCTTTCCAGCAAGACTCGATTTTGGGAAGGGTGTGGGGGTGAAATGGGCCTAGCAAATCAGAGTGGGACAAAAGCAGTAGTCATTTCAGTTTCAATTCTCTGCCCGTTTTTTCCTAAATGTCTTCATGATGGAGAGTCTGATTGTGAAACCAAAACTCAGGAATGTCTTCTGTCTTTTGCTGTGGCGTTAAGGTGATTTCTGTGCCTCTTCAACTGTGATACAAACAAATCTGTCCTTAGTTTGATTGGAAAGCATGAGTACTTATCATTGCTCTGTGAATTAGTTTGAAAATAGTTTCAAAATTAAGATAAATTCAAAATTTTAAAAGTACAAATCACCATTTTGCCATGGAATGTTCATATATATAGCTAAGTTCTTACACACTTTTTCCAAATAACAATATTCTGTTTTCAGTGGGAAATATGAGTGAGCATGTAAGAACAAGATCCCAATCCTCAGAAAGAGGAAATGAACAAGAGTCTTCCCAGCCGGTTGAATCTGTGATTGTGAGTCCTTTAACATTTGATGTTTTCTATTAACACAATTTATTTTACAAAATATATTTGAGCTAGTGTACATGCACTGGTCCAGGGGTTCCATGCTGATAAAAAAATGATGATTGCATCTCATGAAGGAAACTTTGTTTCAGAAATATTATATTCTGGTGTTACCTGTATGGATATGGATATTTCTCTCTATATATACATATATATAGATATACGTATATATATACGTATATACTGTTGGAAGAATATCTTTAGATTTATGATTCGATGCACATATGCATTTGTGTATTTATATTATTGAGTTTTTATTCGCACACACACTTACACCCTTAGGTCCAGCAGCCCACTGAGGAAAAACGTCAAGAAGAGGAAGCACCAACTGAAAATCAGGGTATTGCACCTAGTGGGGAGATCGAAAATGAAGGAGCACCTGCTGTTCAAGGTGAAGGGAGAGTGGAGAATAATGCTTGTGGGTGGTGGAGGTATATTTATGCATTATATTTTATGACATACCAGTAACAGGAGGCCAGAAAACATTAGGAAGGAATCTTAAACGTTTCCTGCTGCTGCTGTGGGGAGGGGTGGGACAAGGACACATAAAAAGCCACAAAACTTTCCTACCATTTTGACAGAGGCTTTTTATTGATTGGGTACTTGCATGGTTGTCATAAGCCTGTGAGTGTTTTCCAGAGCTCCTGTATGGTTTGCTCGGCCATTTTCTGTTTTTTGGTTTGTTTTGTATTTTATGTTTCTGTGGAAGAATGGCTCCTTGTAGCTTCCTAGTCTGAAATCTGCGGACATCTCATGTACTTTTTAAGAAACTTTTTAATACACATTTATTAATGCTTCCTCATGCCATGTTACTAAGTGCTGGAAACGTCAGTGCCAAACTGTAGCCTAAAGCTCATAGTCTAGTCAGACTGACTCAAACAAATCACTGATTTAATGTGATAAGAATAAGAACAAATGAGTACAAAAGGGGCAAGTAAGTTATCTAGGGCCAGCCTTGGGAAAGGAAAGGGTGATGTTTGAACATCTCTGCTTTCCTGTTTTCCTGGCAACAGACTCCTGAAATAATTAGCCTACAGGTTTTTATTTCATAATGATGAGGGAATAAACATTATCATTTCCTCGTTCATAGTTCACTTTTTAATTTGTAAACTGATGACCTTTTTATGTTTTAAGGGCCTGACATGGAAGCTTTTCAACAGGAACTGGCTCTGCTTAAGATAGAGGATGAGCCTGGAGATGGTCCTGATGTCAGGGAGGGGACTCTGCCCACTTTTGATCCCACTAAAGTGCTGGAAGCAGGTATGTTGTTCAATTAAGATGCTAACTGTAGGGTGTCTGTTTTCACAATATTATATTTTGTGTGACACAGAGGTAAAATTACTGCTACTTTAATATCATATTTCACGTCTAAAGATTCTTTAAAGGTAGTTCAGATCCCAGATGGCTGCCTCACACACTATCAGAGATAGAGGGCCAGGTATGCTGGCTCACGGTTTTAATTCCAGCACTTTGGGAGGCCGAGGCAGAAGGATCACTTGAGGCCAGGACTTCCAAAGATGGAGAAAAATTGGGTCAAAGTTAATTGGATTATGATATGAAAGATATGAAACATGCTAAGAGAGTAGCTATCGAGTGTCTTCACAGCTATGTGGAGTAATGCAGATATTAATTAGCTTGATGTAGCCATTTCACAATGTGAATATGTATTTTAAAGCATCATGTTATATGTGATAAATATATTCGATTTTATGTGTCATTTTTTAAAAAAGATATGAAAACATGTTGTGACTTTTGAATGTAAAGTCATTTAACCAACAGCCAATAATTTGCAGAGATTTTTATAGAGGCCTGTTTTTAACAAATATGTAACATGTTTATAATAAGCATCAGTTTATTTTGTGATGTTAACTGTGATGGTAATGGCTTACAGCTGGCGTGGGTATTCAGTTTACTGTATAAACTGAACTGCTTTTAGGCATGTAAAGAGGCAGGAGTACTGGTGAAAATAGTGACAAATGTTCACCCTACTTAAAGCAACTGCATAATGGCTAAACTAGTCCAAAGTAACGTTTTTACACTTTTTCACAAGAGACACAAAACAAATGTAATACTGACTTTTCTATTTCCTTCACTTAGGGAGTTCTAAATATATTCTGTGTTCAGAGTGTTATTTCATATCAAAATGTTTAAATGATACTTTAAAAATATCTTTTTCCCTTTGGATTTTGTTTCGTTGAATTTTCATTGAATGTATATGCGTTTTTTTTCTTTGTTTTTTTGCTTTCCACTTATACATACAAATAGATTCACTTGATTGAATTCATTCTGAAGTTGAACAGTCTCTTTGTTTTCTTATTCTACTAGAAAAAGTGGCATGAATTAAAAATATTGTTAATATGCCTGGAAGTCTACCTTCAGAGTTTATTCAGAGGCTATCTGGTTGTAGGCTGAAGGGTCACCCTCAGGGTTCTGATATTGGTTCATGAACACGGTAGTTGTGTACCTCTAGTGTCATATGAATAAAAATCTGGTAACGGGTCCTAATTTTATATTTATGTTATAGGTGATGCGCAACCATAGGTGTACACCAAGAGAAATGAAGACTGAAACGAAGAATGTTATTGTTATGCTGGATATTTGACTGATAACATTCTTTTATTAAAGTTTTTCAGTTTTCTGCAAAGAATCCTTGCACATTTTTGTTAAATTTGTTTCTGGATCTTTTAATAGTCCTGAGAATTGAATCTTTTTTGAACGTTTAAATCCTGTGTTTGAGATGGTACATGGAGATAAAATGTTGGTACATTGATTTTCTATCATAGACAGATAGAAAGCTGGAAGCTTTCATAGTGGGATGCCAACAGCTGCACAGATAGAAAAGGCCACGTGGGGCCAGGCATGTTCACCATGGGCTTTCCACCTCCCCTTTTTTAGCACATGCACGGTAAGAACGAAATGAGCAACATGGAGTAGCCCAGGCTGAGGACCCGCCTGCATAATAAAAGATTAGGGTGGGGGCTGCCAGAGATTCACACCCTATGCAGATGGTACACCTGGTCCTAACCGGTTGTTTGTACCCTATGTGGGTGATCAGATACAGCCTCCCCACT